ATATACACACACACACACTATTGACAACTCTCTGCCTGCCTATAATGTGCTAGTCCAAAAAAGAACTGATAGAAAGCCATTCCTACCATAGTTTGTTTTCAGAGCTGTGTCTTTTGTCTTGCTTTTCTCACTGCTCATCTCACCAGTGCAAAGTAGCTTCTGTTTCCAGCACTCCCACTGTGTAAACTTCTGCTATCTCAGATTGCCAGTCCAACTGTATAAGTATGGGCCTTCTTGTTTGTTAGACAGGCAATAAAGGACATGGACCTGAACCTGCCAACAGCCTGCCAACCGCCAATCAAGCCAATCAACTCAGACTGAGTGCAAAGCAGTTTGCCGTGCACACAAGCTTATTGAATTAATGCTGAAAAGCAGAGTGGGCCCTGAGCTCAGTAATTATAAATCAAGAGTAATCAGCGGAACATAATTGATTTGGTAATTGTGTTTGCTTTCTGGAGTTAGACCCAGAACTTTGCTGGCATGAATTAAGAATGTTTTCATCACAGCTGAAGTAGAGCTCTGCAATTTTTTGTGAATGTAAATACATGCTTCTGGTTAGTTTCAGCCAGATGGGATAAAGAAGTAATACTGTAACACAGTGAAACCTTTACCATCAAAAGTCTTTGTATATTGATTATGTATTTATAAAATACACATATACATATTTATGCAGCATTATTATATCTTAGTGGAACTTTTCTTATCTGCTTGAATTAAAGCTTTATTGCTTTCACTGCTAATAAGGCAGGTAAAAGTCATGAAGCTGCATTTAGAGCTCTCAGTTGAATTTGACATACACAATTTTTGAGTAGTTTACATCAAAAATGAGTGTGACAGTAGTGTAACGTTAATTGAGTTTATAGACTTTAGGACATCATGAACATTACTACACACGTTTGCGTTAACTGAAGGGGCTCTGACTGAGTGCAGACTGACTGAAAAGCAGTTTCCAAATGCATAAACACTGTGCAAAGGCTTTAACGTGTTTCAGAGCTTTTTTTGTAACAAAATCTAACAGGGTCTGTCTAACAACATTAATAAACAACCAAACAACCAAACAAAAATAACATTGTATCTAACATTCACTTTAAATTGTAAAAAATCTATCAAAAAATAAATGTGTATGATTGTGAATCAACTATACCGTCAGCTACTCAAAAACATTTCTTCATCTGTTAAATCTTATGCAGACAACATGGTAAAAAACAGCATATGAAAATGATACCAGAAAGCCATTCAGGTTGTCATTTTACAAAAGGCTACAGGCAGCAGCTATGCACTGCTGCTGTCTTTTGACTCTATATTTGTACAAGCTGTCAGTGCTGGTGAATCTGTCATACCAGCATCATCTTTTCTCGATTTTCAGATGTGCTTGTTCACAACCAGCATACTGCTGAGAGAAATGTATCCACACAGACTGCAGCAGGGTTTCCCAGCTCTGCATTCACTTTTTTGTTATCGCCATTCTGTGTGGCTGCCTGTCACAGCAAGAAGAGGGACTCAAGGGGACAAGATTGCATGCCCATCTCAAACTGGATCAACGTTTGTCTGCTGTCAGTTATCTTCTATGTGTTGCGGAAATCATTGTGTAGTTCTGCCCAGGTTTTGTCTGACACCTTGATAAGACGCCTGAGACAGTTTCGAGTTCTTCTTCTTAGACAAAAGGCAAATGAAGGATTTTTACTCCTGGTGATTCAAAAGCGGTTCTCACATGCCGCCCACGCTTTGAACCAAATTCAAATATTTGAATTATTCTGGTCACTGCTCTGATATGCAGATTGCTTAGTGGGGGAGTATTTTAATCACACCAAAGTGAGATACCGCCACTTTTCATTCCACTTCTAAACACCCTCCTCTAATGGCTTTGCTGTTAGAAATGATAGTTAAATTCACCCCTAAACATACAGCCTGCTTGTTTGTTTGTTTTTCTGCGATTAATCCCTGTGGCTATCTTTCTCTCGCACTTTACTGATTAAAAATTGCACGTGGGAAAGCAAGGATGGCCTCAATTCTGGCAGGTGTAAGACTTATTTTCTTCCTGAGTACCCTTGTTGCTGCCAGTGTCCCTTTCCTTCTTAAGTTCAAAGGTCTTTTACAGCACCTGTGTTTCATCTGGGCTCTCTCTACTCTCTGGATGTCAACTGTCCTTTTCGTTTCACTTCACTGGCTTTACTCAAATTTCACACTTGTCAGGTTGCGTGATTCCTCGAACAGCTACAAGCACATCTGAGTGTAGCTCTCTAAGCCCCCCTACCACCACTACCATCCCCTCTGTGATAGTTTCAGGTTAACGCTGGTCCTATTCTGGTCATCCATTTTATAACCATAACACAAAGAATCAAAGAATGCTACAGTATGGAATGATCTAGCTAGCTAACTAGCTAGCTAAGGAGCAGGTCCATACCTGGCTTCTCCACAAAAATGTAACTATTCTTGCGCAAATTACTGAACCCAGACTGCTGGGTTCCATTTCAACCTTTCATAATGCCACTTAGCACTAATGTTTCACAAGAAAAACTTCACCTAACTAAAAAAAATACAAATGAACCAGATTCAGGACATCAGGAGATTCATAAAAAAAACTAAAATTAAAAAAACCTTAGAATTATTCCTGCTATATGTAACCATTTATCTGATTGTTAACTTCAGAATTACACAAAGGTCAGTTGTACAGCTTCTTCTTTCAGCTTGTTTAACTGCATGTTAAACAAGCTGAAAGAAGAAAGATCAGCTGTCTGCTACATCCTGCAGTTACGAAGGGAATAGCGGGAGAAATTTCACACACGGTTTATTGGCTTTGTAATCGATGGTGCTATTGTGATGGAATGATAGAGAAGAGCCACACTCCAGGACTGAAAACAACCATCTTAACCTTCACTCACAGAACCTGTGGGACATATTACTCTAAAACATATTACAGAGCTTGCTCATCTGTGCATATCTATTACCTCTTAAGGGTACACTGAACACACTGCAAAAAAAAACAATGTGAAATTCTGAATTTTTCAGATCCGAACATGTCGTGTAACCTCTATACACACCGAAAGCATTACTTACTTACACTACTTCCAAAAAAAGTATCCTTAGAAAGTTCATCAAAACAAGATAGGAGATGGCAGCAGCGGGGAGAACTTATACCACGACCACTTTTGTACATATTTCAGGATGTCAGTTTGAACTTTTTCCTTGCATTTGTTGTTTGTTGCATTTAGCAACACGTGCACTGTAGCTCAGATTGTAGGTCAGATTGTCTGATTGTCCAGCTAAATAATGCATTCATTGTGAAGAGCAGGATCAAGAAGTCCCAAATTCAGATTTTTCATGCGCAAAATATTGTGCATGAAAAATCATATAATAATATATTTCACATATCCAGTGTGTAAAGGCCTTACTCTCAGACTGGTTCTTATATATGTATATAGATATAGATATATATTATTCTTCTACTCAAAGTGCTTTATACAACATGCCTCATTCACTTTTTTCTATCTGTAAGTGCTTTCTATCTAACATTCACTCTTTGATGGAGAAACAGACTCGGGAGTATCTCACCTAAGGATATTTAGCATGTGTGGCGAGACGAGGATGGGATATAAAGTAAATACTCTTTGCAGTTTTAAAAAGACAACGCCACCCTGGGAATTTCACCCAGAGAATACTGGAAATAACCCTAAATCACTAAAAAGGCACTTAGGTTCGCTATACTCAATCCAGAGACGAGGTTCAATAATAAACAAATTGACAATTTATTGATAATTATTTAAAACACCATATAAAAGCACAATCATAAATATTCAAGTACAAATATGCTTAAAAAGGTATTCAGAGCTGAGGCTTACCAGTGGAGGGGCAGGGATGCCACACACAAACTAAAGAAAGAAAACACACCCAAAACACAAGTGCAGCACACTATCACACACACTCACACTAATAAACTAAACAAGGCAGGTGTGTACACTCAAGGGATCCCACCACCAAGGCACCCTAGTCTCCTCCACGTCGGCACTCCGCACTGAATAAAAGAAACAAAGAAAATTTTAATATATTACAACAAACTAATGTGTAGCACCGGGGGATAACCCAACTGCAAGACCACACTGGTGATCTACAGCTAGAAAAAGGGCCTCCCACCAGTGGTGTAACAAAAATCCAAACTACAAATCAAAAGCAATAAAACAACATACAATCTGGATAAAACTCTAAAATCTGGAGCAAACGGAATCGCCGTACTGCTCCAACTTGCCGTCACACAACGACAAGTTAACAGTCAATCAATATGCACGCCAGCTGACTCCGATAACCGGCATGCATATGGCCGTTGTCCACGCCGACGTCCTCTGTAAAAGCTGACAGCAGCAGGGAAAGAAATCTCACAACGGGAACCGACGATAAAAGCACAGCAAGGCAAAACAGCAGCACTTCAGTTCACGTAGCTTGGCGCAAAACTAAGGCCCACACTTCCTGCGAAACATAATAAATAATTACTATAAAAGAGCAATAGAAGGCAGAGAGCGTAACAAAAGTTGATTACGTACCAAGTAAGCCGTGTCATAGAATGTAAGCCGAATAGCTCAGAGGAGGCTTCTATAGCTACGACCAGCCGCGATGGAGACTTTAGAGGCGTAACCCACAAACGATCTCTACCACACCGAGGAAGTCAGGTGACCAAAAAGGAGATCACAGGCAAGCGATGCAGAGACACTCAAATGGCCACTATTTATACCAGCGCCCCCTAATGGGCCAGGCTGAAAGTGGGTTGGAACGAGGGATAACATTCATCCTGCCACACATGCAAAGTGAAGCAAACAGGGATTAAACCACCAACTACTCCAACATCATTGTGAAGTTTGCGGACGACACTACAGTGGTGGGTCTTATCACCAATGGTGATGAGACGGCTTACAGGGAGGAGGTCAGCGCCCTGACCCACTGGTGTCAAGACAACCATCTCACCCTCAACGTCGCAAAGACAAAGGAGTTGATAGTGGACTTCCGGAGGTGCAGAGAAGTACACACCCCCATCACCATCAACGGCGCTGCTGTGGAGAGAGTGAGCAGCTTCCGGTTCCTTGGAGTACATCTGGCTGAGGATCTTACGTGGTCAGTACACACAAACAAAACAGTGAAGAAGGCGCAGCAGCGCCTCTTCTTTCTCAGGAGACTGAAAAGATTCGGCATGAGCCCCCGCATCCTCAGGACCTTCTATCACTGTGCCATTGAGAGCATCCTCACTGGATGCATCACCACCTGGTATGGCAACAGCACCGCCTACAACTGCAAAGCTCTCCAGCGAGTAGTGCGGTGCTCTGAACGGATAATTGGAGGTGAGCTTCCCTCCCTCCAAGACATCTACAGGAAGCGGTGCCTGAGGAAAGCGGGGAGGATCATCAAGGACTCCAGTCACCCCAGCCATAAACTGTTCAGACTACTTCCATCAGGAAGGAGGTTCTGCAGCATCCGGTCCCGTACCAGCAGACTGAGAGACAGCTTCTTCCACCAGGCCATCAGACTGCTGAACACGTCATAGACACCTCAGCCTTCACTACTGGAACTTTAACATTATGCACTCCATACTGTACAGTAATGCCACTGTTTTGCACATGTCTCAACTCTGTATATTTTTATATATTTTATTTATTGTTTACTCTATTTAATTTGTAAAATATGTGTACACACACACACACACACACACACACACACACACACACACACACACACACACACACACACACACACACACGTAGAAAAATATTTAGTATACACATCCAGAAATGCATATACTATTATATATTGTACATATATTTATTAGTTTCAGATGTAGCCATTCTTGTATTTTGCTTGTTTACATTATTGTATTTTGCACAACTCTGTTGCTTGTGAAGCTCGCACACAAGAATTTCACTCACATGTGCTGTACCAATGTACCTGCACATGTGATGTGACAATAAAAGTGATTTGATTTGATTTGATTTGATTTGAACTGTCCAATTATAAGATGACCTGCTCTACCTCCTGAGCTACAGCCACCCCTCAACCTTGAACGTTTGCTGCTCATCCCAGTAAACGTAACAGATTTGCCTCTTTCTCTGTTTGAAGGTTTGCAAATGGTCCTAAAAGAGGTGTGATGCTCTGCAGCTGGGAGCCTGCAGGAGAGTAGAAAGACTCTGTCATCAAAGTAAACTGCTTTCTTAGAAATATTTATTATTTTATACATTGGCAGCATTTTGTGTTGTTGCATGTTGAGACTGTTTCATATTTAATACTGAAGTTAAATGGAAACACATTAAGCACTAAGTAGAAGGGGAATTTAATTTTGAGACAAACCTTTTGTATTGTTTGATTCACCTGTCAAACACCTGTGTCTGAACAGGAAACATAAGACTGAGAATACTGGGCGTATTACTTTTATTTAAAAGTTAGAATATTCTTATGTTCTAAACTTGTTTTGTTTAAGTTTATAATTAATTTAGAGTTTATACATTGACCACAGTAATAAAAACGGTCTGCTTCAGACTCCGTTCATGAACATCTATCTACAGTGGTGTGAAATTGTTTACTGATTTCCTATTTTGTTTGTACGTTTGTCACACATAAATGTTTCAAATCATCAAACAAATTTAAATATTAGATAAAGATAACACAAGTAAACACAAAATTCAGTTTTTAAATGAGGGTGTTTATTATTAAGGGGAAAATCCAAACCTACATGGCCCTGTGTGAAAAAGGGATTGCTACCTAACCTAATAACAATAGCAGCAACAACTGCAATCAACTGTGATAACTGGCAATCAGCCTTTGTCAGTGCTGTGGAGGAAGTTTGGCCCACTCATCTTTGCAAAATTGCTGTAATTTAGCCAAATTGGAAGGTTTGAGCATGAACTACCTTTTTGCGGTCATGCCAAGGCATCCCAAATGGATTCAGGTCTGGACTTTGACTAGGGCACTCCAAAGTTTTTTCTTAAGTTTTTCTTAAGCCATTCAGAGGTGGACTTGCTGGTGTGTTCTGGGTCATTGTTCCTGCTGCAGAACCCAAGTGCGCTTCAGCTTGAGGTCACAAACAGACGACTGGACATTCTTCAGGTTGTTTGGGTAGACAGCATAATTCATGGTGCCATTTACCACAGCATGTCTTCCAGGTCCTGAGGCAGCAAAACAGCCAGAGATTCGTATTGTGCCAGAGGTGAAATTCTTGGATCGGCGCAAGACGGACGAAAGCGAAAGCATTTGCCAAGAATGTTTTCATTAATCAAGTTCCACCATGCATTAATTTAATACCACCACCATATTTTACTGTTGGTATGATGGTCCTTTTCTGAAATGTTGTGTTACTTTTACACCAGATGTAATGGGACACACAACTTCCAAAACGTTCAATTTTTGTTTCATCATTCCATATAATATTTTCCCCAAAGTCTTAGGTGTTTTCTAGCAAAACTGAGACGAGTCTTTATGTTTCTTTTGCTCAGCAGTAGCTTTTGTCTTGGAGCTCTGCCATGCAGATTATTTTTGCCCAGTCTCTTTCATATGGTGGAGTCATTAACACTGACCTTAACTAAGGCAAGTGAGGCATGCAGTTATTTGGATGTTGTTGCACTCTTGGCGTAATTTTGGTTGGCCGTTCACTCCTGGCAAGGTTCGGCACTGTTCCATGTTCTCGCCATTTGTGGATAATGGCTGTAAAAATGTGCTTTTGAAGACTCTGTTGTTCTCTGAAGTCCCACAGCTTTAGAAATGGTTTTATAACCTTTTCCAAACCGTGAGATCTCAAATCCTCAATTACAATTACTATCTATGAAATGTTTAAATTTCGTCTGATGTTGCTTCGCATACCATGTTTCTTATGTAAAGGTGAAACAGTGCAATCTCTGCCCCATTCTCTGTTTGCAAACTGACATGGCCGCACTAGCTCACACATTATTGTCTGCAAAGTGGTAGGCAACAACCATCCAAGAGAAAAAGGCTCAGAACTATTTGTTTGAGTTTAGGAAAATATTATACTTTCCTTTGTTTTTAACATTAGCCACATTAGAAGCTTCATTTCCATTTCCAGGCTTACCAGTGGTGATGAATCCCCAGATGATGTAACATATAACTGACTATCTGAAAAGGATTTAAGATGAAGTTAATTTGAACATACTGTAAATGACAAAGATATCTTGGAAAGTTAACTTGCTTCCTGGTTTTGTTTGTTTGGGATTTTGTTGTTGCTTGGATGCATATTTATGTAGAAAAATACAAAGTCACCTGTAACTGATACAGGATATGTCTTATAAGGCATTTGTGACGCAGTGTGACAGTGCTGATGTATTTTAAAACTTAAATTAACTACATGGCAGATAAGGTTGACCTCAGAGTAGAGCAAGCATTTATGCAATGTGTTGGTGAGAACCTGATTGAACAACAATTGATGTTGAACTGGTGCCAATGTTGCCAGTTGCCACTTTCTAAACCCGCCTATCTGTGTCGCCTTCCTACTCCCTTCAACTCTGTATCACCTAGGCCCCCCTTCATCTTCATCCAGCTTCTACCATGCTGAGGTGCCTCCTCTCGACCTGTTGGAGTGGAGAGGCCCATCTGTGAGTTTATCTTGCTCTGCCGGAGAGCAGTAAACACTCATTTTTGTGGCTGTCAGCTTGGTGAAGGAGGGCAGCCATGTGGAACACAGCGCAGAATCAGCAGTGTTCCCAGCAGTGGAAATAGAGCTGGCTTCAAGGAAAAGCCATTCTTTTGCCTTCTTTTTTCCCCTCCCAGGGAACAACATTATTGCTTCTAAACCTGCCATATATTGATTTAAGGCTTGTATTTTTTTGTATGTCATCATATTGACGTAAAGTATTTTCTCCTTATTTTTTATGTTCAAAATCATGTGTACATGTAATAAATAAAAATACATTTCTATAGAAACTAAAGCGAAACTTATACAGCTGTCACTGAAGCCAGGATTTTATTGGTATTTATTTTGAATGTTAATAATAAGACATTCAGATGAAAAAGCAAATTAAACAAACCTAATACATACATACATGTTAAATGCACCACAATGATTTTTCACAGTTTGAGGAGAGTTGATATGCATCATAAGGAGTGTGCCATGTATGTTCTTCTAATCTTACTAAATGACTAAGGAGCATCGGAGGAAACAGCTTACTACAAACTCAGCTGAACAAAGATGCTGGCTAGGTCCATATAGACACCGTTAAAAACAAAATGCTTTCATCAGTCACTGATTTATCAAAACATTCACTATTGCTTAAATCAGCCTTTAAGGATTTTAAATTGAAAACCTAAGAAGGAAATATATGAAAATATACTGCAAGTACATTTTTCCAAGGAATGCATATTATACGATATTTATTTAGACTTTTTTCAGAAAAAAAAAACTAATTGTGATTTTTATCCATTGATCAGGGCTGTGAGGTGCAGCTGAAATGTCTGGAAAATAGCAAGAAAGAGGGCTTTTAAATAAATTAAATTTTTTTAACTTTTGGCTTAACATGGAGAGATCTCAAAATACGTATTTTGTTTGCAAATTTGAAGTTTGGTCTAAAACAGAGTTGGAAATGGCAGCCTGCCTCTTTAAGAAGTTAATGTGTGTTAGTCTGTTTTCTTCTTCTTTAAAAAAAATCTTTGTGTATAATTCTTAGGCAAAAAGCTAAGAGGCATACAGTTAGCATGCATAGACAATGGTTGAACACTGCAGCAGCAGGATAAAACAGCTGGCTTACTGGCTGACTAACTGGCTGACCATTGCAGCATTGGCATATGCCATAACTCCCACAACAGCATGCTATTGGCCACTTTTGGATCTTGGAG